GTCACAGCCTCCTGCTGGAGTACCTCCTGATACTCCGGCATATCCGATAATCCAGCACCCCCTGGGTCCCAAAGGTGCCAAATTATTGGAAGTCTACTGTATATGATTTTTTAAATATGTTCTTTTTTTCAAATTGTTCCCCTATACAAAGTCTCCCTTCCAATTTTTGTGGTTTTAAAAATTACTCTTTCTTTTTTTTAAATGTTTTTCTCTTCTGTTTGTTCTGTGAAAGTTCTATGCACACAGGAAAATCAGAGAAATAGGCTAGAAAACAACTCTCTCTGAAATGCATAAGGTAAACAAACTGGGGAAAAAAGATGAACTGAGTTAATTTATAGTTAATTCATAGTTTTGCTCATGATTGGTGTAAGTTTAAAAATGCAAAAGTCTGCCATTTTTAATTTGATGGTGCCTTTAACATATAAAGGGGCAAACTCAAATCATTCATCAATTGTTAGAACAGCTGCTGGAGGTTCTGTCTGTCTAGAACTCAGTCTTCATTAAGAGAAAATTGTTGCTACTAAATACTGTAATTGGAAATGGGATGAAAAAAACAATGTCAGCTGAAGATAGTCATTAAAACACAATTTCATCACCAGAGGCTTCTTTTTATCTTCAAGCTGATTTCATGTTTGAGTGTCTCTCTGTTACTGGGATCAGAATTTCCCTTTGTGTTGTATGCTTTGCCTTGAAGTAGCCTTAGAATATAAAAAGTGTTTGGAGTTCTTAAAGTCACCCATGGGTTGCCATTTTTGTAATAAAGCGTTATGCTTTTGTGGATAGCAGTTCAAGAATCTTCATTTCTTCAGGAGTTGATCATTAACCGGTAGAAGTTCTTCAATAGCTACACTGGCAGCTGAGAGTTGCACAGATACTTCTAGGAAAAGTAACAATAAAGGAGGCTTCAATTTTAAAATCAGGTTAAGGAAATAATGGGTCTTTTTTTAGTAGTGTGTGATTGGTTCCTGCCTTTGCCTCTGTGCTTAATTGCACAACTAAACAGGCTTTACAGGTTTGGCTTTTCTAGCATATTGTCAGTTTCAGCATTTTGTATTTCCCGTAAAAACTTATTTTTCAGGTGTTCAAGCTTTGCACATTAATATGTATATTGAAAAGGCATTCTGGATCCAAAAGATGATACATTCAGGAGTATATTTATGTATTTTTGTATATTTTTGCTCTGGCAAAGCCTCAGAAGCGCGGGACCCCGCTGCAGCTGCAGGTTTGCTCCCGGTGCCCCTGGTCTGCTGGGGACCGTCTCCAGCAAACCAGGGGCACCGGGAGCAAAGCGGTCCTGCGCCAGAGCAAAGCCTCAGAGGCGAGGCACCCCCCGCTGCCGCTTTGCTCCGTGTGTCCCTGGTCTGCTGGGGGGGCGGGCGCAGCTAGTGTGCCCCCCCCAGCAGACCAGGCTTTTGTTGTTGACCCTGGGGGCGAGGGACCGGG